AACACAACATAAAATCAAAGACAAATTACAGGTAAGCACTGGAGGAAAACACAATAATGCAGACAAGTAAACAAATAAACACACAAACAAACAAATAATAATAATAATAATAATAATAACAACAATAAAAGCGATAATTATTATCATTATTTCGTCTACATAAGTGCTTATGATTGCCGATCACAGTGGCCGCGCGGTCTAACGCATGAACTGTCTTCGTTTACTCAAAAGCTGGGATCGTGGGTTCGAATTCCACTCAAGGCTTTTATTCTGTATTTGTATTGTTCTGTGTGTAGGCAGAGGCCTTGCGACGGGCTGATCTCCATTCCAAGGTATTCTACCGACTGTGTATATGATCAAGAAGCTGAGAAAGCGCCAAGGTCAAGGGCCGTACAGCCATAATAATAATAATAATAATAATAATAATAATAATAACGTGTTTAGTAAGAGCAAAATGCCAATTATAGGCAGGCACTAAGAAAAACAGTATGTAAAATGGGAGATGCAGACGCTTCACTTAAGTAGAATAAGAATTGACATTAACACGAGAACAAGGTAAACTTACAAAGCGGAACCCAGTAGCCTGAAAGTAAGAAAGTTGTAAATTAAGTCGTAAATCGTTGAAATGATGACAATTATAAGCAAGCGAATTACATTCTTTGTTGAAAATGTGAACCTTCCTGCAAATTGCTTTACCAGCAGCAACGTATAGCTGTAGCTAAGTTCTGGTGTACATTGAAAGTACATAGAATCAGCTCCTATAGTCCTTGAAAGTATGCGAAGGCTAATGGAATCTAGAATGGACAAGCAACTATCAGCATAACTGTTCCTGGAGTGAAGTGTTGAGGGATTCAGTGTAACTAACATGCTTTCTTATGTATGTCCACATGAGCAATTGAAAACTGAAGAATATGACCATTGCTAGGCAGCGGTTCGGTAAATACCGCCTGTAAATCGGAATAACAACGAACAGAAGCGGAAGCTCATTTGCTAGGCAACGGTTCGGTGAGGACATTCTCGCGGCAACGGATAACAGACAGAATGATAACTGACTATTCCAGGTGGTGGCCTCTATTCGGTTCTCCCGAACTTATAACGGGATAAGACGTGAGAACGCTAGGCAGGGTTCCTTCGTAGGTGATTCGTCATTCGTTCGTAAGGGAGTTCAGCGATTCAGTCGCAAGGGTATTCTTCTTTCGGGATTCGTTGTTCGTAAGCCAAAAGTGAGTGATTTGTAAATCGTAACCAAGTCAGTCACAGCGGGGGAGAAGACACTCGTAGTCCATAAGGAATGTAGCCATCGATTGAGAGGCAATAAATCCAATCATCCAATTCGGAACCCACTATTATTCGTCACGGAACCACTCATACATGACAATACAATACCGAAAATATTCACTGAATATTTTACTTTAGAGGAATCTGCCATTTAAATTGTGTTTCAGGTGGCACTTGCTTGTCGAATAGGTGCTGTTCATAACCGTAAGATATGCGGATGTCGAGAAAGAGCATGACATATATTGAATAAAAGTCGACAGATTTTGTGAAGTATATACCGGTAATGTAGTGGAAACAGTTCCGATGTTGGTATCTGAAGTTTATTGCCCTTATTTGGTGTCTGTCTGTTCATGTATGGCTGAAAATGTAAATTATCCAGCGTCATTTAATGGAAGTCTTCCATTTTGAATTTTGTAATATTTATGCAAGGATCAGGCACAGAGAGACGGGTGGACAGACAGATATGACCTCCACATAAAAAAAAAGTAAAGTAAAAGTGAAGCTATCCCTGTAACAGGCCGTGGAGGCTCATAGGGTTGTGAGACGTTGAAGGTCCCACATTATCTAGACAATTGGCTCACAGATGGCGGTAAGGTTGGCAGCCTGACGCGCCGGCCGCGCTTTACTCCCCAGGAAAATTATTTAATTAATTCCTGGTAGTCATTTCTGTTAGAGGCTGAGTCAACCCCAGGACCACAGTGCGGCAGGAAGGATTAAGTCAATTGAAAAATATCCAGTGACCTCATCGGGACTTAAATCCGTGACCTTCCGGCTTGTAGCGTTGCCCCTCAACCAACTACGCTACACAAGCGTACTTTAATAATTCTTAAACAACGCCTAACAATAAAACATGGATCTTAAAGGACTAGGATCTGGCTTAGGATAGGGTCCAGTGACATACTTACGAACACGAGAATGAATATTCTGATTCCATAAACACAGGAATATTCTTTCCTAGCTGAGCGACTGGCAGTTTCTCAAGAAGGACACTCCGCATGGAATTTATTTTGATTATTTGAATTGTACCCCCAAGATGAGACTATTTTAACGTATCCCCTTAAATATGAAATGACAATAGGAATGAATTATATTTTGTACATAATAATTTTCACTTTTACGCTATTTTGTAATTAATTTTGAGATAATATATATAAGCAGGAAACGCAGCTTTGTCATACGTTAGATTATGTGTTTTGAACCCGAAATCCTATAATCAGAATGGGTTTCGGCCACATGACAGTATCAAAGAAAGCAATATTAAATTCATTTTAAGCATGCGTCTAGCCAAAGATGTAAGGAAACAATGGCAGTGTTAGCAGCAGTAGCCATACGTTGACATACGTGCCCTCCAGTCCCATGGCCTTCACTTGTGCTGGTGCACGTTCTGTCGATGGGTCAAAACTGTTATACTGAAGTTCAGACAGAACTTTAATAACGTAAATAAATTGTCTTTATGAAAATCTACCTAGTTTCCCTCACCTACTGGACTTTCATCGGGGATTGAATTTATTCTTTACATGTGTGTCACAGAAGCCATTTTTACTGTTGAAGAAAGCAGTCTTCTGGGATGTGACGCCGTGTAGATATTGTAGATATTCCTCCGAAACGTCGGTTAACACAATATCTACACGGCGTCACATCCCAGAAGACTGCTTTCTTCATAGTCACCACCGTGAAAACCTCAAATCTTGCATTTTTATTGTTGCCTTTTGTCTAACATGAGCTTTAACGTGGTATAAAATGAGATGTATTTCACCATAAAATTTTATGATAATTTCGAAGTAGAAAGTAGTTTATAACGTATATTTATAAGCCAAAAATATTCAAGAATGAAATTCATTTCCTAGAGATGAAGGATGGCTCACTTGTGATGATGTGATAAGTCGTATTTGCACACTATGAAAATGATTTTTTGCACATTTATGGAAGATAAACATTAACTTTTTAAAGCAAATTGATAATTATGTATACCATAGGCATTTAGAAGTCCGAATTTTGTGCCCAGGTTTAGTTGATTATATATGATTCTCACAATAAACAGCTACAACTTTCCCACATATCATTAATTGGCTGGTTTCGTAGTGTGGTCACAGTGTGTTTTCTGTGTGGCAGGATCTGGATTTCCAGTATTGTTTGATGAATTTATATTTCAGAGAGTTAAGAACAATTTTAACAGTTACTTTAAATATTTGAAGCCGGGATAGCGCAGTCGGTATAGCGACTGGCTACTGGCTGGACGACCGAAGGGCGGAATTCGAGTCCCGGTAGGTTCAAGAATTTTCCCTTCTCCACGTCGTCCAAACCGGCTCCGAGATCCTCCCAACCTCCTATCCAATCGATAACGGGGGCTCTTTCTCTGGAGGTAAGGCGGCCTGGACGTTAAGCCGACCACACATCTCCAACTAGTGACGAGGTCACATCCAGTCCCCCATACGCCATCATGGCGTAGTGCTTAATTAGTTAAAGTACAGGGACAGCTTTACCTTACCTTAACTTTTACTTTAAATATTTATGAATTTGCAGCTCTTCATTCAATATACTGAACCTAAATATACCTATTTATTTTAAGGAAATTCTTAATATTGAAATAATCACCAAATAAGGGCTTCAATTTCATGTATGCATCTATCTACTTGTGTGCCAATTACTGTCTATGAAACCAATTATCAATTGTGGAAGAGGAGAAATATGATATTAGACCTACATGAATTCTAAAACACGACTGGGAATGCTAGCACAGCCGTAACTAATTTACAGAACCACAGAAGCGAGAGCCGAGGAAGGTAAAGCACCGTGAAGTAACCGGTTGAATATAAATAATTTGTGGGTAACTCTACTACTTCTCCCCTTTCCCCTGCTTTATTTCTCGTGGATTTGCTGGCCTTCTCTATCCACAATTTCTTAAGAACGTATGAATCCTTTGTACATAAGGTTGTACTCCTTGGATGGGGCCAACCTGTCGTAAAGCCTTTGCCTACACAGTGAACACCACACACAAAAGTACAGACATACATCCACTTCGCAGTTCCGTATTCGTGCGGTCCGAGAACGTACGCCATTAAAACTAACAGCTGTTAGAACTTGTAGAATATTTTTTACACCGAATGCCCCATAGTACTGATGCAAGGACGACGGTCCGGTTAACCCCTCTTAACGCTTCCATCACGGGAGGGAGAAAATCAGTGGCACGCTCCGTGGGGATGGTAATGGAGGACGAAGAAGAAGGCGAGGCAGGGCGAGCTGTTGGAAGAAAGTTGTCTGCCCATTTCAGTACCTGCTGACCTGCATGACGGTTGCATTTCGTTTCGCGCTGCTTCTTCTGCGTCCAGGAAACCCTGTCTCACGTAGCTTGTGATTGGTTCGGTTCCCGTCGCTAGTTTGGCCTAGGCGGCCAAGGAAACAGCACCTCAGTAGGAGCGAGTTGTGTGGTGTGTGAATACTCAAATGCGGTAGTGCTTACTTGGTGAACTCTTTCCAGATCTTAAAGAAGTGAACTATGGTGTATCACATAACGGTATGTACCCTGTAATTATGTTGAGATTGGGGTTCCCACGGAGGGTAATTTTAAGGTGATGGTCTTCTAGTATGTCCCGCCGTGTAGTTTTGTAGACAGGTATCCACACTTCAGAAAATCTTGTCTCGATCTTCGGGTTAGAAGACGGAGGGAGATAGTAGGATTCTCCAAAACGCTAATTACTCAATACAAAATTACACTGCGTCAGACGCCAGGAGACGGAAACTTCAGTTACTGCTTTGCTAGAATTTTGCCCAAATGACTCTAATTATATCGCTTTGAAATAACATTAGAAATATAGGGATGATTTTGGCATTAATATCTGAGGGCCCATCTCATAATTGGGAAGTGTTACTCTACAACCTTTGTGGATCAGAACCTCACAATTCTTCGGGTTCAGAATTAATTCTGAACCATTGAATGTGTATGATGAAAAAACACACAATTTATTTCTTCTGCGACGAGCATCTGCCAATCATCCGCAACTTTCTAAAATACACTGCTTCTGAAACACAGCCATTAACATAATTTCACAATGCAGTTATCTTGTATGTGTTTATTGGTTGATTAATAGAATAGTGAATTAGAAAGGATGTGGACGGGAGCGGTTGTTGCCTAATTTGAGGTGTTATTCAGACATTTGCATATAGGCACTGAGGAAAATCACGAAGAACCTCGGTCAGAAAAGCTAGTCTTCTGGCCGATATTTGAGCCACAGGACTTCCGGTCCTGAAGCAGGAGTGCCACTCTTCAAACGAAAGTTTCGGTCTAATGCTGTTATAAGTTGTATAATGATTTAGACTCGAATTGACTGAACTGGTTATTCACGACTGTCAGCACAGTAAGGAAATTAAAGCAGAACTTGTAGCTGGAACTAACCGAACTTGAATGCTGACCGTCGCCTTTCCTCTACTTCAGACATAAGCCGAACGACGAGGTTAATAATAAGCAGTTCTTCGAAAATAACACAATTTTACTTAGAGCGGCACAGTTGAACGTAACGTCAGGACGGTCAAGACGAGGAATTTTCAGTCATTCTAGGCGACGATTCAAGATTGTCAGTGGCCAGCATCACTCCCCAACTGAGTTTGTCCGTGGGGAAGACCTTCGCCACCGGTATCTGTTGACTATGTTTCACTGGATGCTGGAAGGGCCCCCAGAGTCCGTTTGGATGTTGTGATGAAGAAATACCACTACTTCCAGCCAGTCACTTGCCGACTGAGCTAGTCATACTCAAAATGTGTATGTTTTCCAGTATAACTTTCCTGGGGAGTAAAGCGCGGCCGGCGCGTAAGGCTGACAACCTTACCGCCATCTTTGAGCCGATTGTCTAGATAATGTGGGACCCTCAACGTCTCACAACCCTATGGGCCTTCACGGCCTGTTATAGGGTTAGTTCTACTTTACTTTTTGTTTTCCAGTACACTTAAAGAACAAGCTAGCATATCTTAAATACAAAATAATATGAAAATAATATTTGTGACTTTTTATAAGAAAAGAGTTTACGATCCTGAGCATTACAAACACTGCTTATTATAGCAGTTTCTCAGATGAGATTTAGGTAGGTCAAAGGAAGCATTCTTTCCGTAAGCTACACTTCGCCCAGCCTCCTTGGAAGTAACGTTTCTACTTCTCTTCGCCTGGAGGGAGACAACCTCGAACGTGTGGTATGGGATACTGTATGACAGTGGAGAGGGCTTCAGCACTCTCCATGAAAGAATTCAGAGACTCGAAGGAAAATTGCTTCTGAGTAGCTTATATGCCAACTGTGAACATTCGCAGTTGTATATGAAGCTATTATATGGAAAACATACACATAATTTCCAGTGGATGCATCCTGTTGTGTTAAATATATAAACTTCTTTATTAAAATCCGTCAAAACACAATAATAAAACAGTTGATGTTTAACAGTATTTTGCTACATGTTTCAGCTTTTAGAAAAGCCATCATCAGGTAAATATCTCTTTTAAAATCTTCATATTTTATTGTATTTTATGTTTTATATTANATTTCGAACATTTCGAATATAAGCCGCACCCCAGTTTTCCTCTTGAATTTTTGGCAAAAAATGTGCGGCCTATACATGCGTAAATACGGTATATTGTTTGCAATTCAATAGCTTAAGAACACGTTAATTATGTATTTGCCTGATGATGGCTTTCTAAAAAGCCGAAACATGTATCAAATACTGTTAAACATCAACTACTTTATTGTAGTGTTTGATAGATTTTAATAAAGAAATTAAATACACATATTGTTTGTTCACGGTAATAATTCTGTTGTACATCTAATAGAAACCTTAACATTTTCGAAAGAATTCTACTGCCTTCTTCATGTGGAAAGGATATGAACATTTTCCTATTCTGCTGGGCATCAAAGATGGACGATGCAGAATTTACGACTTTAAGTTTTATGTAAAACTAAGTAAAAAGTACGTGAAGTAAAGTTATCCCTGTAACAGGCCGTGGAGGCCCATAGGGTTGTGAGGCCTACCACATTTTCTAGACAATCAGCTCACAGATGGCGGTGAGTGTGTCAGCCTTACGCGCCGGCTTCCCTTTGCCCCCAGGAAGACTCCTGGTACTCATTTCTCTTAGAGGCTAAGTCGACCACAGTGGCCATAGTGCGGCTGGAAGGATTAATTCACTTGAAAAAACCCACCTCATCGGGATTCGATCCTGCAACCTTCCGACTTGTAGCATAGTGCCTCAACCAACTACGCTACCGCGTGCCCCCTTTATGTAGAACTGTCGTCATATAAGTTTAAACTTAGTTTATACACAACACATTGGCGAATTAACATAAAAGTCAGGCAGTTTGGTACAGCCAATTTTATTAATTCGTTAGACAAAAATACTAGGAACATAAAAGAAATTATGGGAAGATAAGTTACCTGCGTACCTGAGAGCCACACACGAAAGCCTACAGGGAAGTTGAAGAAAGTCTCGGCATATTAGAAAACATATGGAGGTGAATATTTAACTTCACGAACCCTGCAAAGAAAGAGCCCCTGTAGTCATTGGATAAGAATCTGTTTGGTCTCGAGCGTCTCGAGACAGGCCCCAATGTAATTCCACTCACGTGCCACCAAAATAACGATTCTTGCTCTTTTTGGTGGACTTAAGGGTCTCTCAGCGCTGACTATGATGTGTATTTTCTTCTCGTACTTAACGCCATGTGGTCCGACAGAATTTCGCCAACGTTTCGGCGAAGTGTTCTACCTCAAACTTTAAGGTCGAGGATTGAGTCAAGGTTTTTTTTTTTTACCGAACTATATGGCGATGCGTCCTAGAAGGTTCTGGTGGAAAGGAAACGTACTAAACTACCTCCGGGGTACATGATCCTTCTTAAGAAGCTGCTAGTTACTCAGCTCGTCAATTTGCCGCCGTTTATGTGTCTCAGGAGATGCAAAAGTATGTTCGCATGAGCCTTCCACTGAAACATACAAGTGCTGAGTCAGATGAAGCCAGTCTACACCCATGTATCTTATTTCTTTAATGTCGATGTTAATTTGATGGTAATCTACCGTCTGTGCTTAGATCTCGTGATATTTTATCATCACCTTTTCCAAATAAAATTTTTCATGTATTTCTACCTTCATTGATGCTACAGTTCACGAAAACGACATCTTCGATTTGATTAGCGTATCTGTTGTGGGCCAAGTAGACCCACTAATTGTCAAAGTGTAAATACTTTAAGAGCTATAGATTTTAAAATTAATAATCTGCTCGTCGTTCATTAGACGGACAGGATTGGAAAGAGCATACTGCATAATATGTTACATAGAATTCCTAGCGGCGTTCTTTGAGTCTCTTTAAGATAAGGAATGCGAGCTAGTGAAAGCCTTCATATCGAATTCTAGCAGAGCCTGTTGCGGGATTTGTGAGATACATGGAAACGTCCATTAGGCTTTAGTTTCAGTTGGTATGCCTGAAAATCGGAATTACCTAACGGTTTAGTTAAAGTTCATGATTTATTTTAACCGTCTTACAGTTAAAGTCTCTCATATAGAATTTCAACATGGCGTGTGAAACGGTTTATGAGACATATTGAAGCAGGTTTTATTATGGCTAAATATATCTTAAAATAAGCATATCTGAATATATTTTAGTGAAAGTCTCCTATTTCAAATTTCAAGAATATATGTCAGTTTGAGGTATACACAGAAAAGTTTTTTTTTAAATGCTAGTGGGGTGGGACTAAGTCCCTCGTACTGCGGCCACTTCTGGCCTATTGTACCAGCCCCAGATGATAGGTGAGGGTGATTGTGGAGCAATTGGTGGAATGAAGATTGCCAAGGGAAACCTAAATACTCGGAGAAAACTTGCCCCAGCGCCACTTTGTCCACCACAAATCCAATTTGACCAGACCAGGGATCGAACTACACGGAAAAGGCCATTTATGCTTTAATGTAGACCAGGCTGTATTGTATGTCAGTGTTGCTGAAAACTGAATTTCCCAGCAGTTTCCGTTGGAGGTCTCCCATATCGATTCTTAAGGAAACCATGACGGGCGGACCTGACCCCCACATAAGGCATAATTTTTCCGTTTGTAAAGGAAGCCTAAATATGCAGATGAATTAGTTAATGCATCCATTGAAGTTTTATCGGGCCATTAACCGACATATACTCGTATAGGCATATATATATGTATATATTCTGTATGTGGGTGTGTGTGTGTTTCGGTAAATACGAATAAACCGGTAACCATATAGAATTACCAAAGCCAGTGGTGATTGTGATAAATTTAGTGATAATAGTCACTCCTACAGGTAATTATAAATAATAATTCATTATCATTATTCATAATTACCAACGTGTATTGATAAATAAAATAAACAGATTTTTATGATATATATTTATTTAAACATCGCATGAATGATTTTGGAAGACTGAACAGAGCAGGTATAGAGCGGGGTTACCAACCTGTACGTTTGGTCTTGGCAACCTAAAGATGAATATGGGTTATTATTCATGACTGTTAGTTGGTCTTACCGTAA